TCGTCCAATAGCGTTTGCTAGTAGAACTCTAAATAAAGCAGAACAAAATTATTCAACTTCAGAAAAAGAGCTAACTGCAATCGTCTGGGCAGTAAAACATTTCCGTCCATATATTTTTGGCACAAGATTTAAAATTGTTACAGATCACAAACCCCTACTCTATATATTTAATATCAAAGACCCTGGTTCTCGTTTGACGCGTTTTAGAATAAAACTTGAAGAATATGACTATGAAATAATTTATAAAGCTGGAAAGATTAATACAAATGCTGATGCATTGAGTAGAATAGTTAGCACAACAAATGTCAATTCTATTATTACCAATTATGATAATTTTAAAACACATCTCGAAAGCCATATAATTATTAATTCCAAAGTCAAAGAAAAAAACACAAATCTGTTTGAAACACCACAACTTATACCTATAGTTTTATTTTTGCCAAAATTATTCAACAAAAACGACTTTAAAATTCTAGAAAAAAATAAACAAATTAATACATTTTTAGAACATTACGATAACACAAATCCTTTAGACATGCCGTCAGTTTTTCAGTATCAACAAAATAATTGTAATATATTTCTATTAACAGACAACGAAAATACATTCAGTGATATTAATTATGAAAATATTTGGTCTTGCTTACTAACTTTACGAAATATTATATCCAACGAAAAAACCGAACTATCATTTATAAAATATCATTACAACTCATTAGTCAAATGGGAAATCGTTCTTCCTATGATAAGATATATTTTTAAAGACCTCTATTCAGAAATTACAATATTTAACAACAGTCTTATCAACCCCTCAGATGCTGAAAAAGTTGTATTATTAAATGAAAATCACAATTGTCCATTAGGAGGTCATCAAGGGTCATCCCGCACATATAAAAAATTATCTCAATTATATACATGGAAAGGTATGAAAAAAGACATAAAAGAGTTTATAAAAAAATGTGAACTTTGTCAAAAAAATAAACAGTCTCGAAAAACAAAAATGCCTATGGTAATTACGACCACGGCATCAAAACCGTTCGAAAAATGTTTTTTAGATATAGTTGGACCACTACCAGAAACCGAAAATGGTCACAAATACATATTAACCTTTCAGGATGATTTAACAAAATATATAATTAATATACCTATGAGAAATCAAGAAGCTGTAACTGTAGCGCATCATTTTGTAACGAATATTATATGCATTTACGGAATACCTGACATGCTAGTCACAGATCAGGGGTCAAATTTTTTAAGTGATATTTTTAAAAGTACTTGCAAGTTTTTAAAGATAAAAAAGATCCAAACAACAAGTTATCACCCAGAGTCAAACGGAGCACTAGAACGCTCTCATAAAGTTCTAGAAGAATATTTAAGACACTTCATTAAGACATCTCAAACAGACTGGGATAATTGGATTCCCTATGCAACATTTACATATAATACTACACCTCACACTGCTACACAATTTTCTCCATTTGAACTTTTATTCGGACATATTCCTACATTACCAACATCAGTTAAACAACCACCTAAAGTCAATTATACTTATGATGATTTCATAAACAATCTTAAACAAAAAATGCAACATTCTAATCAATTAGCTAAAGAAAACTTATTAAAATGTAAAAACATATCAAAAAATAATTACGATAAAAACAGTTATACCAGAATATTCGAAATTGGTGACAAAGTGTTACTTTACGACGAATCAGTTCGACGTGGCAGAAGTAAAAAACTTTCCGCCTTATGGATTGGTCCATATACCATTATAAAAAAAATCAGATGTAAATTATAATTCAAAAGGAAAAATAAACAAACTATTCATGCAAATAGATTAAAAATATTATTATTAAACTAAACATAATCAGTATATATAGATTATAAAACTAGAATTAATAAATTTTAATTAGCTTATTATTAGTATATATATTTTGTTTTAGGGTTAATTTATTTATAATAATACCAGTAACACTTGGTTATTTGCAGTTCCTCATCCAGAAACTCTTACGATATCATGTAATAATAAAAAAAATCACGTAGATGTAATACTAAAAAATTGCGGTAGTGTCACTATAGGTAAACAATGTAAAGCTTATAGCGCATCATCAATGCTAATCCCTCATGGAAATACAGTCCAGTCCAATATTTCAAGTGATTTTATTCCACCATTCGACATTAGTGATAATTGTTGCGAAAGGATAAAGGAAGAAAAAATAAACATTAGTGAAATATTTCTCAACGAACATTATAGGAAATTAACAAAGCACATCCCCGAACTTAATGTAGCGAGCCATAAGCTAGAAGATATTGAAAAGTTAGGTGATGAAATTCTAAAAAGGAAACTTGTAAACAATTATACATTTCCAGCATCTGTAATTGCCTATATCTTAGCTCTTCTTGCTATTATTTTTATTATTTATAAATTGTATACAAAATGTACTAACAAGACAGCCTGTTGCGGAATTATTCCAAACTTATGCATTAGAGTTAATCAGTCTGTGGAACCATCTTCTAGAAATAGTGATAGATATGTTGCTCATTATAATCGTAATATTAGCCAAAACTCTGAAAATGTAGGTAACTATGAAAACTCCGAAGAAGAGAATGTTAATTTACAGGCGCCCTCGCGCAGACCCATTGGGTATGTACCATCAAGGCGACCATTAAAAGAAAAATAATTTCCGCATTTGATACATTTTTAAATCTGCAATAGTTATAAAAAAAAATGTTAGTTAAGTTAGAATGTAAGTTAGTTATAATTAGTAGTTAAGACTTGTATAATACTTTTATATATGTACTTTTATTCATTTCCATCTGAGTTATACTAATTAATTATATAAACATTTGTTTTGAGATTTCATATCACTTTCACCTCATGAAATCTCTCATTAAGGGGGGAGGTGTTGTGAACATACATTTAATATGGTTATATGTATATGTATATTCGACAAATTGTATAAAATATTATTTTTACCCTTATTCTACGGCTATGCCTAAAGAATTTAAGGTACGAAAAATACCATCAACATTATTATTCTTCTCAGAAAGATGGGTGATGCAAATAAACAGAACCATTACCTTAAGATGAAATTTGGAAGAAATAGTCATAAATAGTTGCATCATTTTAGTTTTCCTTTGTAATTCGTTGTTTACTTTCAGACGCGATGTCTGGTTTCTATTTACTTAAGAAATGGTCATGTTTGTCCCTTGCAAACCTACCTGAAAATATTATTAAGAAATAGTAGGTACGCCCGTGGATTTTCGAGGGCATTCTCATAAAAGCACGGTCACAGAAGGGACTGGGGACATTCATAAAATTTTTCATAGACGTAATACTGCTAAATTTATATTTTGTATTAAAAGTTTAAAAATAAAAATTAATAACAACTTAGTAAGAATTTAATTATAAAAAAAATAAAGAATAACATTCCCAACAAGTGGTGATACGAGTCAAATAGAGAACTACAACATTTGGTGGCAGCGACTACAAGATTGGTGACGACGGTGGTCCAATCCAGGATCACGACACTATATACAGAGTAACCCAGGCCTCCAAAAAAGCTTTTTACCTATTACGTTTTTGGTTTGTGATTTTTATTTCAATCTTTACATAAGATCGGGGCCATTGTAACGCACATTTTCAAAATATTTTTGTCAACATAATAGGGTGATTCAAACCACAATACATATGCTTAATGCAGTTCATGAAGATTGGGACGTTTAACTAAATTTGATTGTCTGATTAAGCTACCTAAGTAATGGATTTGTAAATAAACGTAATATTCATTATTATGCGACAGAAATCCCATACTGTAGCACACAGATTTACTTTTAATGATAAATGCCCTCATTGAGGGACTAAAACGTAATTACCTCGTATCAGAGCCATCATAATACGAGAAGAAGACCGAAAGTCAAATCTTGTCTTATATTTTCAAAAAACACATTCTTTTCTCATTAAAATAAATATTGATTTTAGGTATAGGAAGTTATTAATAATACAAGATTAAACAACTATTAATAGTACTTCACAGGAAGTTATCATTGCGAACTAACTAAATCGTTACTAATTACTAATTTGAAAAGTTCTTTTTAAGATAAAAAAAGGTAAAACTAAACCTAAATTATCATTTGAGATTAAACGGAAGTTCTAATTACTGTAAGCTGCCTATTCTAAATAAGAAAAATTATTTATAAGTTTTATAACACCTCTAATTAAATTTGGATGAAAGAATATTTCTGTTTGCTGTAGGTACTTCAGAGATTAAACGGGAAGTTCTAAGTTTCTTCTTCTCCCAGGGAGATGTAATAAAAATGACTTTTTAAGTCAAAAGTCAAAAGGACAAGTTATTCCAAAAAGGACAGGTGGCAACCTAGGTATCTCTGAATGGAATTTAATGGCAAATCTACAACTTTAGTTTGAAAATATGTTCCTGCCACCTATGATTACAGAATGTCTAAAATGTGCTTTTACCATTGCCTCCATATTCTAAAAAAAAAATTGAAAGAAAAAGTCACCAACCACAAACCTAATATAGAACTGTTTTAGAAGCCTGAGTCACCCTGTAAATATTCAAAAGTAACTGAAAGTTTATATAGAAGTAACTGAAAGTTTAAATTGAATATCGACGTTGGAGTTGATTTTTCGAAAACTACCTACTAACGTTTCAACATAAGTATATGTGGGATATTAATTATATTATTATATTAGACCTTATAACAAAACTCATCTAACGAAAAAGTGTTAATGTAGTATATTAATATGGAGTAAAAATTTTACTAATTACTTTACTTTTACTTTATTAATTAAATTCGTTCCAAAAAACGATACGCCACTGGCCATTAGAACAATCCAAATGCGCCTAGTTGCTGGCTCGGTTGCCGGGGTCGGAAATTTTAGACTTCTCTGTCTCTTCTGTCTTTGTTTGACACATTGGAATGTTTGATACACTACCAACGAGTATTTATGTATGAGATGTTCGATCTATCTTTATAATGTCTTTGCTTAAATCACAAGTCATTTTGAAAATGACTTAAATTTTAACTCTTAAGCCAGCTTTCGAAATATGACTTAAAATCAAATGATTTAAGTCATTAAAATAATTTAAGTCAAAAAAAGACAAAAGCTCTGGTAGAGGGTGTGGGGGTTTTTGGCTTAACCGCCCGAGCCAAGAGGAGACAACCTGACTAAAAACCTAAATCCCACGATGTAGGGACCAGTTCAAAGGGTTAAGACGACAAGCTACCATTTCGTACTACCCGGCCTGGGCCAACCAGGCGGACTAGACAATCCGCTGAGGATAGGTCAGGTTACAGCAGGTAGAAGGTAGCTAATTAGTTGATTGCTTTTATAATAATAATCATAATAATAAAATAGTCGGTTTTTTCGAGTTGATAATAAATAAAAGGAAGCTTAAGTCATCATTAAAATTATAAAAACAATCTTAAGCTCCAACACCTCGTCAAGGTACTAGCTACATAGTTGGAGACCATTCACACACCCTTTCATTGCCACATATTCTCACACAATACATACTCACACGCATATATGTATATATGATATTTCATTTGCAGTGAATTATGAAAAATGATAAAAAATTATGTATCTATAATAGAATAGTGTCCCCAAGGTAATGTTTTTATAGATGTTTCAGAAATCGATCGCTTATCATCATGCGGGCTTAGACCAATTTTTGTTTGTTTGATTGTGTAAAGTTCGTGATTTTTAGACCGAATCAGGTTTTGTGATATAGATTTTTCCACAAACTTTTCGAGACATTCCACATAATCTTCAAACGTAACTTTATTTTTTATGACATATTTTTTAACTCCCTTGATTTTTTTAGTTATCCCCTTATTTTTTAAATGCATTTCAATTTCTTTCCGTTCTATTCCATCCTCTTCTAGTTTTAGTTTTTGCTGTTCTAGTTCTTCACTCGTATAAAATAATTTTGTTGCGTACATTTTGGACCTTAAACCAACAAAGTGAGTCATAATACGCCCGTTGTTTTCGTCTTTCATCATTCCCAAGACTTTTTTATTTACTTTAGGAATGCCATAAATGTTATCGGTAGCATAGTCACTTGTGTCAAAGTGCTGATAACAATCTCGCTTTATCATATCATAAACGTCTAAGTTTTTAATTTCATAGATAAGCGAATCTGTATCGGTGTAAATAACAGTACAATTATTGGAGAAATTTTTCAGCATGTAATCATAATGGAACTTATACGTTGTTGTTTTCGCAATGTCTAAAATGGACATTCCTACATATATAGGTTTATTAAAGTAAATCACAGACTTGGCCATTTCGATGATTATAAAGTTTTCGTTAATTATGGTAATGTTTTTAAATTCTGGGTTTGAAATAAGAGCCTCTGCCCCATATCGACCTTCCCATTTAGTTACAAGTTTAAGAGAGGAATGGTTTCTTATATTCTCCATGGTCTTGCCAAAGACAGCGTTATTCATTAACTTAAATAAATTTTTTTCAAAGTCATTTTTAGCTTTCTGTCTCAGGACTGTGTTTTGATCGATGTAACGTTTTAGCCATGGAGACTGATGAAAGGAAATTCCCCTCTGGATATTAGTAACTTTGACTCCCAGGTGAATCGCTTGTTTTAAATTGCGGTAGTGAATTACATATTGTTCTTTTTTATGCAACGTTGCTAATAGTTTAGCGTTTTTAGATCCAGGTGGTTTATCATGTTCTGGACAGGGTGGTAAATCTGAGAATTTGTCATGTAATTCGTTGGGAATTTCCAGGTCGACTTCTAGAATATATCCGGTACGGGCATCGTCGGCAATTTCTAGGATTGAAGTCTTCAACTTTTGAAGTTTTTTTTGATCCAGCCATTCAAACCCTCCATATGGCAAGAATTGGGACATAGCCCAACCATATTGGTTATTTATGTCAAAGTACATAAGATATGAATCTTCTTTTGACGAATCATAATTATCCATATACTTATTGTTAGCTTCAGCATATCTTTGAGAGCATTGACTCAAACCTCCACGAATTCCTTTTTCAATAAACAGCACCATATCCAAATCAGTAAGAAGTTCGAGAGGACGCAGGTTAGTTTTTGACATTTGGAATAACATGACTTGCCAAGCGTATCCAGGTAAAGTGTATGAGTGTACAGGACACAGACCATATTCCTTATGGGCAGTGGTTCTAAATGTCTCAAAAACATCTGCCAACAACAAAATATCAGTCTTCATGTACAATTCCGAATAGTCCCGCATGGTTTTGCATTCAAACGAATTCCATACAGTTTGTGCATGAGCGTAATCTGTATCTTTAATATATGATTCTGTTAATGAATTATAAAAACTTTGCTTTTCAGGCAATTTAGCATAATCAAGTTTGGGCCAGTCATCCATAAAGTCGTATGGAAATATTCCTTTGCGACATAATAGAGAAAATTGCTCCCCAGACACTTTCCGATATTCAGATCGTAGAATAGGGTATTCAGTCAGATAAGAAGCAAGATCACTTAAGCCGGCGGCTAAGAATCTAAAACTGTCAATAAAACGAAACTCGATAAAATATCCGGGAATTTTTTTCGTAAACGAAATATACTTTTCTTTGTTTACAGGTAAAACGGAGATATTTCCCTTAGTTTCAGCCAAAGCTTTCACCACCATATGACCGTCATAAGAACTGAGATTATGGAATAATACAGGCACTGTTTGACTGTCCTTGTAATTTAAATTACACTTTTTATGGGCAGGACCGCGATATTTTCCAGTAAGATGACAATGATCACGAACCTTTATATTCTTTTCGTCAAAAGGCTTTTCACACACGTGACAATGGGTAGCTTTATTAAAATTATTACGTTGCTCGGAAGTTAAGTCCATCGGTAAAAATATTTTTAAAGCAGTAGAAATGATTTTAGCATTGTCCTCCAATTCTTTAACAAACCATTTCATACAGTCCTGTCCTGTATGAGATTTATAAAATGATAATGTGTCGTCATAGCTGCATTTTACATAATATCCAATGCTATAGGGTTCATGGTGCTGGTATATTCGATTATTTTCAGCAGGCCGTAAGAAACATTCAGTGTCGGCATATATAACGAATGGTGACTTTTCTTTAGACTTAACGTTCTTAAAACCAATACGATTATTTTTACCTTCTTTTTCAGGCGTCGTGGGAACTCCTCCACCAGTATTTAATTTCACACAATCTTTCAAATGTACGTTTAACTTTTCTTCGGAGTATAAATAGTGCAAACACCTATCGCAGAGCCACTTTTTTCCATTATGATTATTTATCTGTTTTGAAATTAAACGTGATAAGTTTTTAATCCATACGAAGTGGGTTTTAACAGGTAAAATATATCTGTCAATATAATCATCTTCATCATCTTCATCAACGTAATGGTCCTGTATCACTAGTACGTTAACATGCTTTTCCAGCTTATTTTTCGTCAAAAACGCTGGATAAACTTTAAAGTTTATTTCTTCGGAAGAGCTTTTAACTTTAAGATTTTTTTTCGTTTTGTTGATTGAGCCTGTTGTTTTTTCTGTTGCCTGTTTTTTTTTCTGAGTTTGTTGTTTGAGCCTGTAAATATTAACGGAAACGTCATTTTGTCTCTCAAATCTTGGTACTTGTTTCTGGGTCATTGGAAATTGGATTCCTTCAAGGTTCAGTACGTCCTTAGGATTAGGATATGAAGATGTTCTATCAGCAACTTTTGAGGATAAGGGGGGATAAAGGGCACTAGTAACAGCCCAAGCAAAACACATATCATCACTATTTTGAATATTTACGCAAGCTTTTTTACTTTTAATTGATTTAGGAAGATCGATATAGCTACCGGCATGTAGAGGATTATATTTGTTTATGTTTACAGATAAATTAATTACTCTACTCAGAGCCCAACCGGACGCATTTTCTTGGAAGTCGCTTAATTTTACAAGTAAAGGATCTGTGACATGTTCCTTAAACCAGATATCGAAATCTGTATCCTGGTACACTGGCGCATTTTTGGTATTTAAGTACTTGAATTCACTCTGTATCTGATCGGCTTTAGCCACTTGAAATTCACCACAAAACACTGTATTAATTTTGAGAGAGAATTCCGGTTTCAAAATCTTTTGGATTTTACGTTTAAACACAAGAGCACAGTCTTCTAAAAATTTCGTAGGATCGATATGTTTAATATTAGTAACAACACCGGTTCGAACCCTTGACTTAAACGCAGAATTAACATCATCCCACTTTACTCGACGACTAGGTGCTTCCTTCGTAGATTTAATTCCTTGTCCTTTCTTTTGGCAAGCCTTAAGCTGGCGACGTAAACTTTTTACGTCTTTTAAACAGGTCTCTAAATGCTGCTTTTTACCTTGGGTTTTGGCTTTTTTCATTTTTATACCAATTTTGCGCACTGCTTTTCTGCATTCGGTTAGACCCTCCAGAAGGGCTTCTTTATTGTTATTTGCGGCTAACTTTAAAAGGTGTCTTATATGTTCAATCATGTCAGTAAATAAAGACATTTTATCACTTTGATATAACAGGTCGCAAGCACTAATTATTGCTATCTCTTATCGGTCTATATCTGAAAAAAAAAACGTGATTGCTTACTAATCATCATATATACCTAAGTTGGGGAGCACAACGTATAAAACTAGCTTCCCGTGGGAAACTTCATGAAGGAAAGGTGCCCTTGAAGATGTTTTATCAGAAAAATTATGTATTCCATTAATTTTTACGGTGACACCGTCAGAGATGTTGCGTTTGTTTGGAGTACGTTAAACAAAATGGCCGCCATAGCAATATAGACAATGTGCCCTATCGTCGCCGCTATTTATCCGATTTTATTTTTTTTTAGCTTGTTAGAAAGGTAATGTAAAGAGGAAAACAATTAATTCTTGAAAGTATTGCGAAAAAATACTATTTTGGTTGCTGCTTGGATTTAAAATGAAAAAAATTGAAAAATATTGTGTAATATTATTTTTACCAAAATAAAATATGGTCTACGTTATATGAGTTCATGTATTTAAAAAAAATTAAGTGATACATTTGCACATATATATTAATAAAATTACAAATCGGCAGCATCACTATCAACTTCATCACTACCTTCGTCGGCAAAATCAGGCGGATGCAAATTATGACAAGATGATTGGTCCGCATTACAACTACACATTTCTGTGCATATTGTTTGCTAAACATTTACATGGTGGTGAACATGATTTTTAAGACACGAACATCTAATCAGTTGAAGAAGAGACTCTGGAGCACATGGTTCTTCACACCTAACAGGGGTAAGCACTCCTTCTTCCAAATACCAGCCGTATCCAACTGGACTACATTTGGTTCATCATCTTTTGACCACACAAAGTTTTGAAGGTTAGCTCTCTTAATTGCGGGTACAAGGGAACTTCTAATGGGGGGTAACTTATCTCCAAGGGCTTGTTTGATAGTAAACATTGACCATCGTAATTCTGCAAGTGATTTTGTTAGAGTGCTTGCTTCATAAACTCGACAAATAAATATTTCTAGCTGATGCAAAACATCATCAGGTACTAAATCACTGGTACCAAGTTTCTGCAAGGCAGTAAGTTCTTCTTCACTCGCTGAAACAAATGCCTCTCAGCATGACAACTTTCCTTTTCCAAACAAACTTCCGGTGGTGTCACAACCAGATATTGCATGAAACCCGGGCTGTGCTGAAGATTTTAATGGTCCGAGTGAAACATATATGTTTTTAACTGATATTGCCTCGCCTGACGATGCGATGGTACAAAAAAGGTGTTTTCGGGAAGCATTGCATAACCAGTAGTGTATCTGCACCTTTAACTTTCGCATTAATAGCATGAAGTATAATTTTTGTGTCGGCTTCTTCTTGAGTACTCTTTAAACAATCCAAAGAGCAGTACGTCGCAGAAACTTCAGTGCGCCATAAAACAACATATTTTTTTGCTGATATCTTGGCATGACTTAGAATTGTATGTGCAAGATAGGTGGTTAATTCATCCCTGGTACGAGTATGTGACAACAAAAAAAAAGAAATTGAAAAGTCTTGCATACTCAAAATATATTCCAAAAACTGACACTGATGGCATAAAATAATCTGTTTTTAGCTTAAGATGGAATATCATCGAATCTATCATTTTTTCGCAATGCATGTTAGGAATATTTTTTTTCAGCTAGTACAAATTCCTTTCAACTTTTTACAACCTTTCGATCAAAATAAGATAAATTGGAATCGGTTCAACAGGGACCGAGATATGCCACTTGGTTCATAATGAAGCGACAGCCATCTTGGATGACGTCATCATAGCCACACGCAACATCTGTGAAAGTGTCACCATCGACCATTATTGGACTACATGGTTTTATCTATCGATTAATACTACTAGTACCTTCCCTTCATTAACTTTCCCACGGGACCCATAATGCTTCCGTACTAATACATATCCAAATCGATTTTCTAATAATTGAAAAGCTAACTTGGGCATCTCACAGGGAGCGCCGGCGCCTGCATCGTCTGCGCTGGTCATATTTATTTTTCAGATTTGACGAGTACTTTCAGCTGTGCTGTCAATCTGCACATGTAAAACAGCATATTTAATCATATAGCTTGTTCGCGCGAGGATGGTCCGTTGCGTAGACGCACGGGCCCAACAGAGTCGAACAAAATCATTCGGACGGATCATCTGCGCCCATGTGAAAGTATTCATATAAACTCATGGCACTTGTTCAATGTACGGACGATCCGCTTCATGTGAAACGGCTCAACAGGGACGATCAGTGTGGACGATCCGCTCCATGTGAAACAGCACTAAGGATATACATGGTGTTTCAAAAAACAGGTGCTCGTGAGGAGATTCCCCTTGTATAAATAAGATTTAATTTTCATATTAGCATAGGTCCGCTTCTGCTTTGTTTCGTAGCTACAGGAAGAAGCAGAATAAAAGAAAGAAGAATAAGAAGAAACGAAATAAAGCAGAATCGGACCCATGTTGATATAAAAATAAATCTTATTTTTACGTGAGGAATCTACCCACGAGAGATGGTACATGTATTTTGAAACACCCTGTATAGTACTGGCATAGTATTAATTGGGGAAGTCTATACAGGGTAGGCTGATATGTATGGGAACAGTCGATTATTAGGTAAATTATAAGAGGTACCGTAAAAAATTAAATATAAAAGTTATAGGGTCATAGGCTTTTTACCCCCTTAGGGTATGAATTTTAAAAAATCCTTTCTTATCTCACGTATACATCATAAAAGAAACCCCTGTGCAAAATTTCAGCTTTCTAGGGTTAAGGGTTTGGTCTGGGCGTTGATGAGTCAGTGATGAATGAATCAGGACTTACAGATTTATATATATGTTAGGAGCAAACACCGATTTCGGCCAATGGACGGAAAATATGGTCAAAACGCGTTCTGGCTGTTACCATTTTGCCAATGTCCGAATTATCGCTTTCTGGCTATTTAATGAAGCCCAGAATGCGTTTTGGGCCACCTGCAATTGCCAGAACGCGTTCTGTTTTCTACTGCGATTGCCATAATGCGTCGCCGATTTTATGCGAGTCTCAGCTTGTAAACGATACCACCGGAGCTAGAGCCTAGAGCATTCATTTAGTATTTGATCTTTGTGCGGGTTAGAAAGTCGCTAGAAAGTATCATGGAGGACCTTAAATTATGTTTTAATGATGAACTGCAAAAAGGCATAAGTGATAGCAATGATCGTAGCAATATTTTTACAAGAGAAAGATACGACCAAATACTTACGGAGGTGAAGGCGGCAAAAGCTTGTAAAAGCAACGGTGATACAATATCTTCGAAACAAAGACGGCGATTAAAAAGGTATATTTTAAAAATTGGCGAAACCGAAAAACTAATTGAAAGGAAGACAGACGAAACTGCCGAACTACGGTATTTTTGCATGACCCACGAATTGTTTGACATTATTCATTCCGCTGATGTGGAGGCAGGACATAAGAGACTACGAGGTATGTTTTTTTTCAGTTTTTTTAATGGACTCAAGATCTACAAGTGTTTTTATTTATTTTAGTTATGAATTCTGAACTCAAGAGAAAATATTGTAATATAACACGGCAAATAGTTGAAATTTATTTATTACTTTGCAAGCAATGCCAATTAAAACAGAAAGTTCTACGAAAAGGACTAGTGGTTAAGCCAATTTTGACAAATGAAATGAATTCTCGCTGTCAAGTAGATTTAATTGACATGCAAAGTGAACCAGACCAAGAATTTCGTTTCATCCTAAACTATCAGGATCATTTAACAAAATTCACCGTACTACGAGCATTGAAAACAAAGACAGCTGAAGAAGTTGCCTATCATTTATTAGATATTTTCTGTTTATTAGGCGCACCTATGATTCTACAAAACGACAATGGTAGAGAATTTGCAAACCGTATAATCAAAAATCTTGCTGAAATGTGGCCCGGATTAAAGCTGGTCCATGGAAAACCTCGCCACTCGCAGAGTCAAGGGTCCGTAGAGAGATCAAATCAAGATGTAAGGGACATGCTGGTTACATCGGCTAACCATGTAACAACCTTTATTTTTTTACTATTTTCGGCTAACCATGTAAACAAACCTTTATTTTTTTACTAGAATCGAAAAATGAATTAATATATAGGGTGTTCCATTACAAAAAACATAACTTTGATGTGTAACTTTTTTTGGGGACACCCTGTAGAACTCTACATAATTTTAGAAAATGCATTAAATTGACTTACATAAGTTCACAAAATTTCACTTCAATATAAATTTTTGTTCTCCTTGCAAAAACCGCGTCATATATGACGCGCCACCCTGTATAATTCGATTTCAATGATTAGAATATAAGCAGAATAGGTATAGCTTATGCATTAGATTTATTTATTTCAATAAATTTACTTAGAAAAAGAATTAAAAAAATCAAAACATTAAGAAGGAAATTAATTAAGAATTTACTAAAATTACTAAAATAAAAAATTAAAAGCAACAAAAAAAATGGGTAAACATTTTAGTATTTTATCTATAAAACACAATACAGAAGGTTTCACATTAATACGTTCACAGTAATTGAATTCCGAGGTAAAAGTCTCTGGGCACTTCACTAAAGGTAAAACTCTTAAATCAGAAATGATACAAACACGAATGAAATCAATAAGATAACAAAAAAAAATATTGTAAAATCATTCCAAATCCGTCTTAAATAAAGCAACTACGATAGACCTTAAATTCGCAATCTTATTCTATTTTTAGCTGTTAAAATGCAACTAGTTTCGAGGCTTTAGGTACCCCACAGAAGTACCCTACCATCAATCACCAAAGCTAAAAAACACCTACCATTTCAGACATATTATACAAAAGGAATTTTAAAAGTTATACACCCGCGAAAGTAAATCCTGAAACTATGAAACTATCTAGAATACAAATGTATTTTATATTTTTAAGCTAAAAGGTTATTTAACTCAACTATAGCCTGGTCCAATAAGTCTTTCGAAAATGAAAAGTTTGATTAAATGTTTTAAAATGAATTAGTTGTTATTAGAAATTGAGATAATTAAAGTTTAATAGATTATTGAATATAGTATTTTTTATTATTATTGTACAATTTATAATTTGTGTAAATACTTACTTGTTAAAAAGATGATCGAGTCTAAGTTAATTTTTATGTTATTTATTAAAACCCTTAAACTAATTGCATTTTAACACAGAAGTAAAACAAGTTTGTGAATTTAAGTATTTTCGTACCTAGTTGTTTTATTTATTAAGATAACTATTTTTATCAACGTTACTTTGAATGTGGTAGTCAATGATGCAGTATTAAAACTAAAAGAGTTTCGGACTTCCATTGTCTTTATTTATTTTGCTTACACAACGTTTCGGTCAGTGATATAAAAATAGACAATGGAAGTCCGAAACTCTTTTAAAATACTTTTATGCACGATTATCTTTTTATTCCGTATACGGTTTATCTTTTAAACTAATAACGGAGAAAGAAAATAGAATCAACTAGAATAGAATAAACAAAGAATAGAATAAACTACCACTGGTTAAACGTATGTTCTTTTTTCTATTAGAAAATCGATTTGTTGCTAACATTTAAACAATCAAGAGACATGAATACTTACCGATAGAACACGAAAAGACACAATAATATTTTTTGTGGTGCAATAATATTAATCACTCATATTATCATGTTTTGATAAAATGCATCGATGAAATCGCCCTTGTTGATTGGTTGTTAAACTTATCAGACCTCAAGCTATTGGTTAATTTTCCTATCATGTTTTGTATTTATATCGATCTACTTTTTGTTTTAATTAATCTTACTTAATATCTAGATAAAAGAAATCTTGACGTCATCATCGTCATAACTATTAATACAAATATATTATATCCTTTGTTATAAAATAAACGGTATTATTGTATACTTCAAGGTCACGCGTTCTCGAACTTTTATACAAAGCATTCTTACTTCATCTGGTCTATCTCTCTTTTGTCTGTCTATATCATCGGCTCCTGTGATATTTTTTGCAAATTGACACCAAATGTTGAAGTATAAAATGTAATGGTGCAAGTAAACACTCGGCGAGGTGACCCGAGGCCGAGACGAGGCGAGGTGACCCGAGGCCGAGACGAGGCGAGTGTGTACTTGGGGCTCTCGCGTCGTCTCGGGTCCTCTTGCCTCGCATTCTGAACGTTTTGCACCAAGTACACGCTCGCAGAGAGAACCCGAGGCGAGACAAGGCGAGTGTGTACTTGGGGCTCTCGTCTTGCCTCGGTGCCTCTCGCCTCGTCTTGGGAGCGCTCGGTCTAGAGGCGGTCTCCAGCACGAGTCAAAGGAGACGAGAGCTACAGAGAAACTAAATAAAAGAGAGAAACACAATAGATTCTATAATTCTCTATGGCGAGTAGGTATGGTTAAGTAGGAAGTCCCGCGATAATATACAGATGCTCTCGGGAAGAAGTGTCTAGTCCTAGCAGTCAACTATTAAGCTTGACCAATCAGGTTGGTTAGCGTGGTTATTTGGAGTGTGTTAATTCATTCGTGTTTGTCAAAAACTCTAAGGTGATTGGTCGGGCTTAACAGTTGCCTGCTAGGGCTAGACACAAGTCTCTCGGGAGATCTCGGCATTCCTTAGTTCGTCTTCTCAACTGCTTTTGAGTCTTTTGAGTCTATTTTCGGTATTTAAATTATTAAAATGTAAATATATAATTAATACAGTGGATAAACGACTTTAGTCAAAGTACCGAAAAATCTGTTAAGAGAACTGTAAAAAAAATTCTTTAATGGTCACTTTCCGGGCCGTTGAAAGAAAAACGCGTCTATTAAAAGCTATGCACGAAGTTCTCATTCAGTTTGATGGAAAGTCCTCAAATTCAACAACAAAACGAAATAAATCATAACAAAACGAAATAAACGAATCACAACAAAACGAATCACAACAAAACGAAATAAATCCATTTTGAGATATTAACAAAAAATGTGTCCTTATAGGTATAAACATGTCGTTATTGCGTCCTTTAAACAAAGAAACTCATAATGTACGTGAAAGATATTATGATACAGACTTTCTATACACTGTTTTCGCTTTTTTGTCATCATTAACATAAGAATTATTAATCTAATTAAAAATTATTGATTAAACTTTTTTATCCTCAGTTAAAATTTTAATGTAAAATAGTTTGTTTTAATATTAGGTAAAATAGCAAATATTTTACGTTTTTATGCAGCATTATGTTTTTTTTAAAGTTTAATACACCTCACCTCGGCAGCATAAAGTCGAATACACAGTTTGTTTCGATCCTTGGCAGTTACGTCATCATTTTCGACGATATATCGGTTTTCATGATTTTTTTCAGGACAAACACGGACAATAGAATGCTAATCTGTGGCGTAAAAGCCAAGGATAAAAAAAAACGTATATGAGTACGTAGGTATATGAGTAGTCTATACTAATATATACAATCCTTGTGACTGACATACTGATTAATCACGATCCTGCTCAAACCACTCAACGTAAGAAGCTCAATTTTGGCATACAGGTTGATTCTAGGGTGTAGAGGTTCGATAAGAAGGGATTTTTCGAAATTCCAGTTCCAAGAGGGTGAAACCACCCCTCAAATATTACAATATTTTTTATTTAAAAAACGGTAAAGTTTCCGAAAAAAACGCTTAAACACGTATATTTTATTTTGTTTTTTACATATTTTAAGATTTTTTAAAAATGTATACAGGGTGTTTCGAAAAATCTGGTCATTGATTAATCACGATCCTGCTTAAAGCGCTTGACGTAAAAAGCTGATTTTTGGAAAACAAATTGACTTTAGGGTGTAGAGGTTCGATAAGAAGGGATTTTTCGACATTCGAATTCTAAGGGGGTGAAACTATCCCTCAAATATTAAAATATTTTTTATTTAAAAACCGGTGAGTTTTTCGGAAAAACTCTTAAACACATGTATTTTATTTTGTTGTTTTACATATTTTAAGATTTTTTATAAATTTATGCAGGATGTTTCATAAAATATGACCATTGAGTAATCACGATTCAACTTAAACTGCTTGACGTTTAAAGCTGATTTTTGGCAAACGGATTGACTGCGGAGTGTAGAGGTTCGATAAGGAGGGGTTTCTCGAATCTCAAATTCCAAGAGGGTAAAAACGCCCCTCAAATATTACTATATTTGTTATTTAAAAAACGATTAGTCTTTCGGAAAAACGCTTGGACAAGCATAATTTATTTGGTTTTTTTACATATTTTGAAATTTTTTAAAAAATCACACAGGGTATTCCAAAAAGTTGGGTAATTTCTTAACCACGATTCTGCTTAAACTGCTTGACGTAAAAAGCTTATTTTTGGTAAAGGGATTTTTCGAAAGTCAAATTCCAACGAGATGAAACTACCCTTCAAATATTACCAAGTTATATAATAATATCGCCATATTGTTTTTTCTCATGCTGACATAAATGTGAGAAAATTTTATCCAGTTTGTATGTTAATGGAAATTCTTGCTTAGCTTTATCATCACCATTACAAATGAGTAATTCGATGCGAACGAAGTCGCTGGTACACGCTAGTAGTTCTATAAAATACCAAAAAAACAATGAAAACAAAAATCACAGGCGGATTTATCTTTTTCTGTTTGAAACTAATATATGCAATTTGATCTTGTGGATTTCACTGGTTTTCTTTATTTTCTCGACTTTCAGGTCGGCTTTAAATTGGATTTAAGAAAAACTTTTTTTTCCCAAAAGTGTTACTAAATTTTCCCAAAAGTGTTACTAAATTTATCTCGTTGAGTGCCTGATTGTTTTTATTTTTACAAAATTATTCTTCAGAATATAGTATTTATTTATGTACTGCAAAATTTTATTGGTGTGTTTTTGCGCTATGTATCTCAAGGCGCCTCGCTGGACCTCCCATTTTTTGTGACGCCTCGGGTCCCCTCGGCGAGTGTGTACTTCCAGCATAGTAAAAACGTGCAATGTTTGTTAAATGGTAAGACAGCGTTCGATAGCGTCTACTGTTAAATGCTTTTTATTGTTGTCTATATGGTATTATATTAATATATAGCCAGGAATGCTCTTTTAAACGAGCCTTAGTTCATTGATTTCGGATTACCCAGTCCGGAGTTGTTAACATTTAAATAAAAACAAATCTAACTTCTCCCATGAACCAACCAAAAAATTCACAATTTGATTAAGATTATGAAAAAATATATTTTGTTATTTGCCATAGCAGTTGCGCCCTCTAGCAGCCATTCTACAAACTTGAAAATAATTTCCAGAAATTTCTGATGGTCTCTTTAGTTATAAATATTTTTTTCCGCAACCCTAATACTTTTCGAGATACAGCACAGGACTATTCTTACTGGAAGACCCTCTACAAATATTAATATTAGAATCAAAAAATATAACAGATTATGAATTGCTCTCCGTAGAATTCCGTATAAGCCAAAAATGTTTGCTATTCTCCTTAAAAGTCAAAAATATCTTTCTAAAAAAATATTTCATACTTCTAAGGTTCTGTAGACTCAACTTTTGGCCAATCAAATTCGACGGAGAGCAGCTTATGATCTGCCACATTTCTTGCGTCTAAAACTCGAGGTGGTCCTGTTCGAAAGTTCACATATATATGATCAATTATTGCATAGTTCCTCTTTTTCCCATTTTTCAAATCGTTTTTTGTCGATTCTTTAATTATTTGCTTCAGTTTATAAGGCCTAAATTTTAGCTCTAACTCAGCAATTTTACTTTTATATTTCTTTGAACTATAGTCGATATTTATATCACCCGTAAGCAATATCTTTGCATATTGGAACTTGTGCAGAATTGTTTTAGTTGAATTTAAAAACGATCGAACATGAGGAATGTTTTTGTACCTTGACGTACGATAAGCGACCCCAATTATTATAGATGAACTATCTTCATCGTTCGAAATTTTCAACCATAGTTGGTCAGAGAATTTGTCGCTATAAGTTGCCACTACTTCATGTTGTATAATTCTTTTTAATATAATGGCAACACCACCTCGTTTTGAACCATTATACCGATCGCATCTATGTATTTCGTATCCTAACAGTTCACCTAGAAACAGTTCAGATTTAACTGATTCGTTTAAAAAGGTTTCGCTAATACAGAAAAGATCGAAATTTTCGTTATGTATATATTCAGATATTTCTTTTTTATGTTTAGGCCACGATCTAGCGTTTATATGCCCAATTTTTAGACGATTCATGTTGGTTTGAATTATGGCTTTTGAAACCTTCTTAAATGATATTGTCTAAATCAACATTTTATTTCAATTATAACAAAACAGCTAAAATTAGTCTATTAGCTGACAAAACAACTCATATTGATATATTTTATGGGAGAATTTTATAATATATATTAAGTATTGTATATATTAAGTATATTATACAAAATAAATAAATATATATACTATTATATATTAATAATAATAATAGTCTCCCTTATACAGCATTTGCACTTTTTTTTATATTTTATTAAATTGTTAAAGTTTCGTGTCATATTTGTATTTTAGCAGTAACCAGTCAGGCTCCTACACCGTAGCAGGCGATGTGGAGTTTCCAATTTCCATGTATGAATAACATGTCGAGAATATTTTACTTTGTATAGAAATAATAATTT